ATGACTATTCTACATCCTTAATTATATATTACATTTTTATATGAACTGTATAAACACAATACCTTAATAATGAGTAGAAATATATTTATAATATAACAAAGATAACTTTAAAGTTGTATCAATAAACCAAAATCCATACCAATGTGAAATGTGTAAGATTAATAGTTCTTTTTTTGATTAAAGTACATTTATTAATTTAACATTTTATCCTATTATTTCTATATAACATCCCTCTTTTTTCTTTTAGTGAGAAATCTCTGAATTTAACTTCCTATTTAACACTTTTTTATAATAGCCAATAATAATTTATAACCACTTCCCTTAAATAATAACAAACATTTATAGCCGTTTTTTTAATGTGGGTGTAGTTTTCTCTACTACTTTCTGTTCATTGGGGTCACTGGTAATCTTTGGTGAACCCTGAGAAAATCTAGAATTATGGTCAAGTTCTGAGACTAGATCATCTTGGTCAATAGCCTGGAAAAAGTTTTGGATGCTGTATCATCCAGGCCATACCACTGGAGATTTTTTTAGGGGGATAGTTTTCTGTCAAACCTAAGTTTTCTTAGCCTGATGTGAATCAACAGCCTCTTATTTTCTGTGAAAACAAAAGCAGAACCTGTTTTTCAAAGTAACCTATCTTTTGACTTAAATTTTGAATTCAAGGTATTTTTAAAATATATATGTTGCTTTAATCTAGCAGCTTTCATAATCCAAGTTCTCTTAGGAGTTGCAAATTTTGAAGACAACCCAATTTTATACATAATCCAGACTCTCTGTGTATTCCCATCTTTACATGGTTTATTTTTATTTCTTTTACTCTTTTATAAAGGAGTTTCTCTAACCCATTTTTCTCTCTCACAAGCCTACACATATTTTTTAGCATACAACAAACTGTTTAGAGGTTTTGTTTTCCCCATCTGAATCAGTCTTTACTGTATATCTCTATCTTTTTCTGATTGCACAAGCCTTTAAACTGCTGAGCTGGTGTGGCTAGGACAAAAGCCACAGCTTTGGTGGCTGACTCTGATTCATGCCTTAGCTTACTGAGAGTTTAGTTTAATGGTGGAGGTACTGACTAGAGTCATGCTTACCACTCCAACTCTGGGAAGTTTCTGAGTACATGCTACCGTGGAGTAGCATGGCAATGGCTGCTAATAACTCCATTTAACTGTTTGGTAGCAGGGCCTCTTAAAAGAGATGAGCAGTTTTTGCCAATAGCAAGGAGTCAGGAAGCCGGCTCTTAAAGGAACCATGCCTACCAAACAAATCAATGGTTACAGAGAAGCCAAGTATTACTCAGTTTTTGTGTGTTTAGAATCCTTTTTAAAGTCTTTTCAGACTTCATGTGGAAATTCTTGCCCCACATTGGGTGCCATATATAAATGGAGGTGGAGCATTTCTCAGTCCAGAGTGCCCAGTCCCAAATAGTCACACAAAAGCTGACATTAATTACAGAATGCTTGGTTATAGCTCAGGCTTATTACTAACTAGCTCTTTTTTGTTTGTTTGTTTGTTTTGTTTTGTTTTGTTTGTCGAGACAGAGTTTCTCCTTGGCTTTCGAGATTGTCCTTAAACTAGCACTGGTAGACCAGGTGGTCTGGAACTCATAGAGATCCGTCTGTCTCTGCCTCCTGAGTGCTGGGATTAAAGGCGTGCACCACCACCACCATCAGGCTTAACTAGCTTTTACAGTTAAATTAGCTCATATTTCTCATGTAAGATTTGCCATGTGGCCTGGTACCTTTACTCAGTACAATGTGACCATTTTGCTCTTTCTGTGTCTGCCAAGGAGTCTCCCGACTCTACCCTTCTCCTTCCCATAATCCTTAGTCTCTGGTCACCCTACCTATATTATTAAACCAATTCAGGTGACAAATCCTTACAGTGTACAAGAAGATTATTCCTTGGAACATTTTGTTCCATAAACACAAGGCAGAGAGAACTGAGAAAGGCATTGATTTTTGAAACCTCAAAGCTTGCCTCCCAGTGACATACCTCTCCCAACAACGCTATACCTTCTAATCATTCCAAAATATTCCATCTATCAGTAACGATGCAGTAAAACTTTTGAGCACATGAGGAGGGGTGAATTTCTTACTCTAGCCACCATAGTAAATATTACAGAATAAAAAGGCATAAGACTATAAAATTGCATGTAGAGCTGTGGTGGTCTGAATAAGATAGTCCCCTTTCTTATAAGTCTACTTTCATTTATCTAACTTAAATTTCATTTAAGCAACCTTAGAGGAATTTTACAAATTGCTACAAAGCATTTGCATTTATCATGAGAATTTATCAACAGTAAGAGGTACTCAGTTTTTGTCATCCTTCCCTCTGTACATATTTCTAGACATTCTGCAAAGTTATTACAAAATGCCTGACATTTTTTCCTCCAAACATTTCATTTTGTACCTATGTAACAAGGTTTTAAAATTATTTGAAATTATATGCATGGGTGTGTCTGTGTGCATGTGTCCAGGTGGCCTAGAAAGTGCTCTGGAGCTGCATCTAAGTTCTGCATTAGGCTTTGAGGCACCTAATGGGAACACTAGGAACTGAACTCATGTCCTCTGGAAGAGCAGTACAATCTTTAAACATGAGCCATATCACCAGCCTTCATTGTGCCTCATATAATTAACTTAGCAGTTGTCTATTCTATTCTTCTTTAGTATAGAATATTTTCTTAACTTTTCAGTGACTTTCATGACAGTGGCAATTTTCAAAATTTTGGATTTGTCATGATTACCTTCAGTTAGACCTTTCAAGTTTGGAACTTTAAATAAGATATATTAACATGCTTTTCCTTACATCAGGTTATGAAGCTTGGCTATCACATTGTGATTCTAACTTGGATCTCTTGGTGAAATGTGATGTCCAGATTTATTCACTACAAGTAACTTTTTAATCTCCTTGTAACTAAGTATCCATGTTAGGTTACAAACATACCTTTAAAGTCATGCCACATTGTCCTTGGTGATATTACTTTGCAGTTTATTTCATCAAGATATAGACTATTCAAACTGAGGCTGTTCAGGAAGAAACCCTTCATGAGAACCCAGAGAACTTGATATTTCAGATGTTTATTGTTTTTGGCTGCTAACTCTTCAGATGATGTGTTATGCAGCAAAAACTAATAATTTCTAGAAGACATGTTGTTACTACATAAATACCAGTTGCATATATAACTTTTGCCAAGTAGATTTATGAATCTTGCCTAAGTTAAGTATTATTACAGAGATTGTGAAATGGTATTGCTTCTTTTTACAGTGATGACAAATGTTAGGGTGGGGGCTATATGTCTTTCAAGGACACACATGACTGGTAAATTATTGTGCCAGTATTTGAACAGTAATCTTTTATTGGTGGGTCCATAGCATTTCTCAATATGTCAAGGAGGTAAACGGCCTGATGTCAGCATTTGGAAGTCACAAGTGAGAATAATAGAGACAGATTCTTGAGACTCCCTGGCGTTAGCAGTGGGAACTTGTGTCCTACCACATATACTAAAGTGCCTTTGTTGAGTGTTTCATAATTATTGCTAGTTTTTCTTTTGAGACAGGTATTGCTGTGCTGTCTTGGCTGGTCTTGAAGAGCTGTTTCAAGTCATTCTCCTGCCTCAGCTCCTCTAGTCACTGGATTGCAGACCATTGCTTCATATTTATAGTGACATGATATGAAAACGAGGAAGAAACATTTAATGTTGTTATCATACTAATTTAGGTTTATAATTAATTCATGAAAAGATTCTAAACTACATCTCTAGAAATTGCTATTCCTGAGTATAATCAAGGACATCATTGACACACTACATTATAATTAATAGTGTCACATGTTTGCACAATACAGCTCTTAATACTTTTGAAGTAGCTGTCACATCCTTCCCTAATGTGCCAAATAAGTCATGCTACATAAGAATACTGCAACAAGACGTTGTCTTTGTCATCTCTTTTTATATATGAAAACCCCAGAGACTAAACAAAATCAATAACCCAAGCAGTGATTAAATACGTAAGCAGATCCGTAAACCCAGCAACCCAATTTTCCTCAATTATCCCCACATGGCAGTGAGGAATAGGTGCCCAGGGAATCTTCCAGATTCTAATACTCCAATGTTTGATCTGTGCCTTTTGCCAGGCACTGTTCTAAAATGCTACATATACTTTAACGCCATTTAGAACAGCGGATCTTCTGTTACAGTACACTATACATTATTTTAAGCATGCAAGCCTTCTGATACTTAGAGGTGTGGGTGAGAATGTGTTGTGTGCGCGCGTGGGCGGTCGACTACACCTTCATGAAGAAGAAAGAAATTTAAAGCCCCACTTTTTCCTTACACCCCCCTCTTCCCCACGCGCGCCCCAAGATTTCACCAGAGGTTTCACTCTGCGTTCAGGTTCTTTTACAGAGCACTGGGGGGCATTGAACCCTAGGATCCTGTTAGGTTGTGTAAACCTTAGAGGATAAGTGGCCAGAGAGTGTCCATCTTTTGTGCTTTAGAGCATAAACTCTAAGTTCCTGGCACTACCTTTCTGTCAGAGAACTGACCACCAGGGTGCGGTTTCTGGAACTTTCCCCGAGGGCAGTCCTTAGGTCCCTGGTACCCTTCTCCGAGGTTGGCTGCCTCAGGGGGACAGCACTGGGCACCGCAGCTGAGCTTTGCGCCTGGCGCGGGTGGTGGTGGTGGTGGGGGCAGCTAAGTTGGGGGGGGGATGTCAGGGCTGGTGGGGATCTGCACACACTCTCCGGGCTAGGAGCGGACCCCACAGTTGCTTTTGGGGGCCGTACCTAGCAAGTATCGCGGGACTTGTGCTCCTCGTAGGAGCCGCGGCTCCGGGAGCAGCTGGAGCGCGCTCGGTGCTCAGCGCCCCAGCCCGGGGAGGAGCGGGAGCCGGTCGGGAGGAGGGCCGGGGTGCTGGTTACGTAAATGATCCTAGCCCAGTGACAGGCCTCCGGGCTAGGACTGCGGGAGGGGGGAGGGCCCGGCAGAGGGGGCGGGGGCCAAGTGACCAGGCGACAGCCGCGGCGGCAGAGGCTCTGCCGAGGTGACAATGTGCTAGGAACCCCGCTCCTACTCCTGCGCCTCCTCGGCCTGGGCGCCCCCTGGCCGCATTCGCCGAGCCTCGCGGCCGCTCGCCGCGCTATGTGGGAGCGTCTCCCGAGCTGGCCGAGGCCGGGGCTGCCTTGCTCTGCTCGCCGAGAAGTGTAAGAGAGGCACGGGCGGGAGCCAGGGCTACGAGCGGTGCGGGCTCCAGGTGAGAGCGGCTCTCGGCTCAGCTGCGCGCCGGCGGGGTTGCATCCCGGCAGCATCCCGAGTGCGGACCACCGAGCTCTCAGCGCGGGATCGTCAGCCTCCATACCAGGTCTCAGTCTCTCTCTTGCTCTCGTTCTCCCCGGTGACAGTTTGGGACGGGCCCCTTTTGGACTGCAGGAGAGTCTGGCTGGGCGCCGCAAAGTCCCGCCGTGAGTGATAGCGCGCTGAACCCCAGCCGAGCAGGGGCAGGGGGCGCGCGTGGACCTGGAGAGCCGGTCTCCGAGGACCTCGGAGCACGCACGACCGCGGATTGCAGGTGCGGCGGTAGGATGGGGAGGCGCAGAACTTTCTGCAGCCTCCAGCCCTCCGCTAGGCTTTTCCTGCTACTACCCTTCTAGCTGGCTTGTGTTGGTCCCCATCCACGCCCTGGGGGCGCTCTCTGTTGCCTTTTAGTCTCTTCCTAGGCAACTTTCTTTCCCAGCTGTGGACACCCCTGGGTGCTATGCTGCCAGTGCCACTACTCATGACACCAGGCACGCTCTGGTTCTTGGATGGCTTCCTCGACAGCTCTCTTTCTATCAGAGTCCCAGCCTCAGCCTCATATTCTCCTCGTGTGTGTCTCTGTCTTTGACTCATTTTGTACCTTTTCTTCCTGGTTATTGGTCCCTTTACTTCCAACCTTGTGTCTCTTTCTCTTTCATTCTGTTTGTTCTGGTGTTTCTTTGAGCTGTCACTGTGACTGCCCTCCTGCTTGTTTCATTTGTCTCTATTGCAGCGTTTTCCCCCTTTCTCTCCTTCTTCTCCCTTTGCCTGTCTCTTTTCCAGCTTCTATTTCCCTCATCCGTAGATGCTTCTCTTATGGGATCCCCCAAATGCACAGACCCCCTTACTCTGATTCCGTAGGAAGGTAGGAGTGAAGCAACCTTCCTGCTTCTGGGCTACCTTGGAGCTGAATGAGGGCCTCAGGGACCAGAAGGGAGGGTGTCGCTCCAGCCTCCCCACTCGCGGTTCAAGGGCTTTGTGCTACCAGAACCCAGCTCGCTGAAGCTTCAGCTCTGTCCAAGCAAGCTGTGTGCCAGTGGGAGCCCCTCACCTGCCCTGTACCTTGACTGGCTAGATGAATTTCCAGATGCAGACTTTTTATTTCCAGCTATACTGATAGCCACCAGAGAAGAGTCAGTGGATGGGCAAATACACGATCTTTGGGATTAAGGCAAGGCAAATGTCAGAAGGGTGGACCATGGTATTGCTAGCAGGTGAAAGGAGCTCTGCCTCATCTGTTTCGCACTCAAGCTTTAGGAGAGCACTTTCCCCTCGAGATACGCAAGCCTCTCTTACCAGAAAAGCCTGGTTTATTTGCAGGATTAAGGGTACTTGACCACCCATATGACATTACTGGTTTCCTTAGGGTCCCCAGATTTTGCTCCCCCTCCCACACACCTTTATTTGTTTGTGTTCGTGCCCTCTAGTGTTAAATAAACTGCGGGTCTGAGAATATTGAAAAGTAAGGTCACACTACTGGCATTCACTTTGGACTTGTCCCCTCTAAGGGTCTTTCTCTCTTTGTCACACACATTCTTTCTTTTTCTTCACTGACTTTTGCAACTGCATTGGGAATCTATTCTTTCCTGATCTCTGCAAAGTCTTTCTCTACTGTAGATTTAGAATCATAATTGCTGGAACCCTCTTCCATTGCCTTCAGAGATATATGGATCTGGAGAATGTCCATAGCCGAATGCAGGTTTTGAAGGGTTAAGAAACATGTAGTTTCTTTTTATTGTTTGTCATAACCAGGATTTCTCAGCTCCCCTTTATACACCTGATTACCTTCAACTCTACTGAGAATTTTTTTTTGAGAATTGAGACTTGCTGGCTGCTCTTGCATGTTTAAACACATGCTTTGCATTATTTTCTTTGTTGGACATCCTATTCCAGGAGGTATACTACTTGATTATGGGGAACTTTGTATCAGATCAGGTTTATAATAAAAGGAAAGGAGTCTTTTCCTAAGGAATTACAAGGTGTTACCAGTGTACATTAGTTCTGAAACAGAAAGTCTAGAGTGCAACTGGATGTTCTCTCAGATAAGTAGACTCTATCTCCAGGAGTGTGGGAGAGCAAGTATTTAATGAAAACTTGGTTAACGGATTAGAGTGCAGGTCATGTTAAGATTCTAAGTCATCCAGTTATGCTAATAAACATCCATTATGAAATCTCCTTAGTCTTTTCTGCCTCTGTTACTCTTTTATAAGGCAGAGTTAAAGACTAGCAGCTAGAATGTGGGGTCAGAATTTGTTGCTTCCTTGCCTATCTCAATGCACACTTTTCCTCTCTCTGTGACGGGTTAACTTGGTAGATACTGATGGGTGTCATATTCAACCATCCTATTTGGAAGTAAAATAGGATGTGACATCATTTTGGGTGAATATGTTCATTTTCTTGAGATGAAAATAATGTAAATAGCAGAAGTGTCAGTTTAAAATATTTGGGGACTGTAGATTAATCTGAAAGCTGAATCACTTATCATAAATCCTTTATAGATCCCTTAGTGCTTCAAGTGTCTATAAGAGGTGTAAGGCTACAAGCAATTGAGGATTTTTCTAAACTGACTGGAAAGGGGAGCTATCACAGTCCTCTGTTGATGCTGTGCTAGTCACCACTTCAAGAAATTAACCATGGATTTTGTGCAGGAGCATGTTTAAGCAATTGTGCCTTAAAATATTACTTGTAAATTACTTGATACTATATTCTACCCTAATTTTGTATTTGAAAATAACAAGGACAATGAAAATGGAAATTTTGACACTGGTTGAGAAGCCTTCTAATTTCTTATTGATTTGCACAATTAACTGTTACCCTTAATATGAATTCATTTCAGGTTCAGCAGTTTTATCAGGATGTAATGCATCTCATCTTGCAACGCTGGCTCTTAGGCATTATAGTTGCAGCAATAGCATTTCTTTCTTGACAGAATTCTTATGTGATATAACTTATTTGGTACTGTGAGTTTATGAAATTGTGGACATTTTAGGAAGAAGCTGAGAGTGGAAGTAACAAATGGATGTTTTTCCTTTTTAAATGGGCAAAGCAGAGAATACTGGAAGAAACAAATTGAGAGCCAAGCACAAGTATAATTAAATCTCATCATGTAAAGGAAGTGACAACCCTGTTTCTGATAGTTGGTCATTGTGTTTACAGAGATAGATGGGTCTTAGAGCCATGTCCTTTGATGGATTTGCCTTGGTAGATATAATGCTCTAAGTTACAACTGTGATAGTAAAACAGTGTTGATGGTGACTTCCGGTATCACCTTCTTGGGGTTGTGTCTGTCGATGGGAAAATATAGACATCTGAAATCTAATGGGATCTGGCAAGGTCATTAAGTCTGAGTGACTGGGCTTTGCTTCTGAATTGTCTTTCTGATTTTGTTATCAAAAAGCACACCATGCTACAGGAAACTCCTACATATGTGTACTGAATTGGTTAGATAATATCTTTGTTGACTTTTCTTAAAGCAATACATTCTACCTAACCACATGACACACAAATAGCCAGATGACACACATATACACCTTTCACACCATCAAGAATGTGTTTGAGACCATAAAAGACAGTTGCATTTATGCCATTGTATGATTTGATGAACTGTTCTCTTAATAAATGGTGTTTAATTAAAACCTTGTGACACATGTTTCTGAAAAATTTACATTTCATTGTGAAAATGAATTCAAAACATTTTTGGGAAATGGCTAGACACGTTAATTTAGGAATAGCTAATTTTTTTCTCCTTGATTCAGATTTAGGCACAAGTTTCTTTTCAGTGTGTGTAGTAACATATTTAATCGATCTTACCTTGATTGTCTTAGAATCTTCATGATTCCGACTAATGTCTGCTAAGCATAATGTCATTACATTTATTTATTCATTTTGCTTTCTTTCTGGATTTCATAGTGCACCTTGGAGCATGTTTGTTTAAATTTAAATTCTTTTAAAAGTTATTACAGATTTTCCCACATATTTTTATTTAACTTTTCACACATGTCACTTTCAGTTCCCTCTCCCTCCCCTACTCCCACACACCCCAAACCTCCCAACCCATCACCCTCACTCCACCCCAGCTCTGCTCCCCAGGGAGAGCAAGGGCCTCCATGAGGGATTTTCAGGGTCTGTCACATCATCCTGGGAAGTGCCCAGGTTCTTCCTCATGTGTCCAGGCTGAGAGAGCATCCCTCCACGTGGCATGGGTTCTCAGAGTCCCTCTGTATGCCAGGAATAAATACTGCTCCACTCTCCAAGGTCCCACAGATTGCCAAGGCCTCCTTTCTGTCACTAAGGTTCGGTGGGAGGGTGTTTGGATCAGTCCCATGCTGGCCCTTCAGTCATCAGTCTGGGGTACATGTGTTCCCCCTTGTTTAGGCCAGCTGCCTCTGTGGGTTTGCCAGCCCAATCTTGATTCCTTTGGCCATCACTCATCTTTGCAACTTGGTTCCAGGTGTTCAATTCGGTTCACAGCTGTGGGTGTCTTCCTCTGCCTCCATTAGCCACTGAATGAGAGTTCTAGGATGGCATATAAGGTAGTCATCATTCTCATTATCATGGGAGGGCATTTAAGTTAGCCTTAATGCCAGTTGGTGTCATTCTTGTAGATCTGTGAAGATCTCACTAGTGCCAGATCTCTCCTTCAACTTATGCTGGCTCCCTCTTTTAAGGTATCCCCGATCCTTTTCTCCTCTATTCTTACTCTGGCTCAACCTTCCTGCTCTCCCATGTCTTTATTGTTCACATGGTTGAGAACTGTCCAAGGTAGCACCATGCACAATTAACTGGGATGGTTTCCTCAGTTAGATTGCATTGCATTGTCACCAAATGTTATTCAAATTCAGGTAGAACATTCAAGGCAGAGTATGAGTAACCTGTTCATCAGCACATTGGGAACATAATACAAGAGGCAAGCAGACACAGTAAACAGAAAGAATTTAAATCCAATCCTGCAAAATCAAAACCACCCAGATGACATCAAATAATTGTAAATGTCAACTTAGCCTCTTGCCTTATATTAATTATCTTGAGTTTTACAAGCAATACATTTCTTTTTTTGCTATTAATAAA